ATTACAATCAGTCTCCAGGGACCACCGATGGTAAAGTCATGGCTGCCATCAATGGGAACAGCTATAAATGACCTATATTCCATATTCCATATATATATATATAGTGAGCATCCAGCTTCCACCCCTGGCAGGTCCTTTGCCTTTCTCACGAGGTTACCACGGCAATGGTCAAATGTGAGAAAAAAGTGTGCAAAATGTTGGGGCTCACTAGAGAGATAGAGGACCTTCCAGAGGTGAAAACTGGAGTCTCCCTGACCCCACCCCTTCCACCTCCCCCTCCTCCTTCACTATACAAGCCAGCAAGCTGGGAGCTTGCACAGTACCAGTGGACCACCAGGGAATATATTTTCCCCTATCCCTGGCCACAGGTAACCTAAAATATGATTTTAAAAATGCAAACTGCTTACTCCTCACAGACCACAGCCAAATCCAAACCCACAAATTGACACACACTGCAACTAAAGTACACACACAGTACATCCACTACACACACACACTATTTCCACTACATACACTCTGCATCTACTATACACATTCACACTCTGCATCCACTGTACACACACTACATCCAATTAACTCACACAAACACTGCATCCACCTTATACTCACTACAAACACACACACTGCATCCACTACACACACACGCAATATTTTCACTACACACACTCTGCATCCACTGTACACATTCACACTCTGCATCCACTTTACACACACTGTATCCAATTAACTCACACAAACACTGCATCCACTTTATACACACTACAAACACACACACTGCATCCACTACACACACACACAATATTTTCACTACACACACTCTGCATCCACTGTACACATTCACACTCTGCATCCACTTTACACACACTGTATCCAATTAACTCCCACAAACACTGCATCCACTGTATACACATACACACACACTGAATCTATTATACGCACACAGCATGCATCCACTGTGTACACTGCATTCATTATACACACTGCATCCACTAAACATACACACACACTCTGCATTCACTAAACACACACACTCTGCATCCACTAAACACACACACTCTGCATCCACTATACATACACTGCTTCCACTATACACACACTATTTACTACAACCATACACACACTCTGCATCCACTATACAAACACACACTCCACATCCTCTATGCACACATAAACTGCATCCACTATACACACAGCATCCACTATACACACACTCATAATGCATCCTTTACACTAACATACACTGCATCCTTGTGGGCAGACACGGAGATGGTCCCTGTGGGCTGACACAGAGACAGGCTCTGGGTCCCACGCCTTGATCTGTGTAAAGGGCCCCAAAATTTCTGATGACAGTCCTGGGTACAGTGTTCATGGATATCCTGATTTGAACACAATTACATATCTTGCTTAGTGCAGGAGGGTTGATGGTTCTTTATTACTATTTTGAAAAATACCGAAATGATTCCATGTCCAGATTTTGGGTGACTAATATGCAAAATAATTTTACTGTAGTCTATTAGCATAAACAAAAAACATGATTACTGTAGCGAGTTCTATATTAATAATTGGCTACACATATAGTTAAACTAATAGGTCTGTGCTTTATAAAAGGGTTAACAATCTTATATAGACTAACACCTTCAACTAAGTCATTTGAAGTTTTCACGTATGGAAGGGTATGTGTAAAAGAATGTTAGTGAACACATGTGTAAGGTTATGAGAGCGTATTTGTTCAAAATATGATATAGTGCGAGTGTGGTATATGTCTGTATATAGAAGGAATTTAAAAGTATAGAGTCTGCAGCATTTTTGCAAAAACAATGAAAATACACCTTAAACATGTGATTATACTGTAACAAAAAAGTGTGAATAATTAGACAGTTTGGGGATTTTCTAATATATATACTTTCAAGTAACTATCTCCCTACTAGAAGAAAAAATAGGGGATCTGAAAGGCACCTTTCTCCAGTATCATTGCTTTGCTTCATTTCATTGAAATGGCTAATGCTTTAATGGCTCATTCCATATTTCAATTGATTAGCCTTTCCCATAATGAAACTGATATGGTGCAATCTTAAACACCATAAACTAGATCAAAAACGTCCCATCTCAGGCAATAAACATAGCAGATTTAAGACGTGCTGTTCACTGGCGAGATATACCCATCGATGTGTCAATTTGCAACTAAAGACATCAAGAGATGTGTTCTTCATGCCCAAACGCCCCTGCAAGTTGCAAATATTTCCAGAGACATGTAACTTAGCATGCAAACAGGATTCGCAATTTAAAAGACTTTGCACAATGAAATATTTGACCTTCATTCTCACTTTGCCATAATCCTTAAAGGAGTAAACAAGAAAGGATTCCAATTTCTTAGGGAGTTCTTTAAAATATGGTTTAGATTAGAATATCGATTTACCACTCAGGTGAAAAGTACCATTGATATAATTAATTTAAAAATGTGAAATATAAATAATAGTTTATGTAATAATATATTAGATAGCTGTTTCTATATATATCTATATGGTATATATAAAATGGTATATATAAATGTATTCTTTTAAGTCGGTATAAAGATATATACATAAAATAAATCACACAGAGCTTATTAAAGCGTTATAAACTAGAGTATTCAAAGATTTCAATCAACGTAATGGAAAAAGAGTCAAAGACAAGGGTAAAAGTTGTTTTATCAAATGAGATTTGAAAATAGGAGAGGTGGTGACATAAATTATTATTAAGAAAGGACAGCTTTGGACTGGTGGTGGGGAGGGAGGGGTAGAAATGGAGAAAGGTCTAAATTGAAATATAACAAAATCCAGAATGGATTATGGAGGGCCAGGAAGCATCGTTAATGGTGTGATGGGCGCTGCAATGAATATGCAAGGAACGCTTCTGCAAGGGATTAAAACCTTCCTGGTATAATGTCCCTGCAAGCAAGACTTAAGAAATGCAAGTGTACATTGAATTCACAAAAAGGTTATTGGTCATTTATAGGACAATTCCGGTTATTAGTTCTTATATTACTGAATAATGTTTTAAGGCTTCAGAAAAACGTGAGATAAGGGTTTCTAGAGAATATATTCAGCCTTTCTTTTTCAGGATCAAAACTGATGTAGTATTGACTTTCTTCCACTAAATGAGTCATTTGTGTGCAATATTCTAGTTATCTGGATTTTATTTATTTGTTTTATGTCTCACGTATTTTATGTATCACTAATTGTCACTGAATAATTATATATCGGTTTGTCTTTATCTCATAAATTCCTCAGTTCATGTGACTAGTCAAAACAATTATCGAAAAGCAATCAGGAAATTTGCAAGCGACTTTAACCCCTTAAGGACACATGACATGTGTGACATGTCATGATTCCCTTTTATTCCAGAAGTTTGGTCCTTAAGGGGTTAAAGGTGCACTGTAGTCACTAGAAGCACTGCAGCTTCATATAGTGATACTGGGGAATACAACCTGTCCCTGCAGAGTCAGCAATATAAATGCTGCTGTTTCTTAGAAAAGCACTTGGAAAGCCACTAAAGGAACTTCTTGGACAAAGTCCTGCAATCTTTAGATCTTTGGACCTATATTCAGAGTGTGCATGTTCTGCAGAGAGACGCTAAAGGTTTCCTATAGAAATGCATTGATTCAATTCTCCTCAATGAGTAGATGCTGGTTGGTGCAGAGCTGCGATTTGTTGTGCTTGTGTTCAAGTCTCCCAATGCTTCCAAAGAGGTAGGTATTGGATTGGCTGAGATCATCAGGACTGATGACCTCAGCCAGGAAGGTTGGGCTGTCGCACAGAGACCAGCAAGCCAGGGGATATAGAGGGAGTAAATATCCTTTTTTTAACCATTGGAGTGAGGTGCTGATAATCTAAATGTTAAGGAGAACACTGTAGCATTAAGAATACATGTTTGTGTCCTCTGTAGTCCAGGCAGTCTCCTATGCATGATAGCAATCCTGCGGGAACAGTTATAGAGGGTGCAAAATTCATTATTATTCCAGTTCCTTCAGTGTCTGTGTGTAAGGCTGAACAGAAAGTGGAAAAGATCAATTTCAATCTGCCCACTAACAGCCTCTCGCACAGGGACAACATTGAGTGATGCACACTGTGTAACAGCTCCTGCAGCTATACTACTAATCAAATGAGTACTTTGCAAATAACTGGTCAAACTCCACATGTTTGTACTCTAAACACCCCTTTTCCCCTAACCCCAAATGTCAACTCTCAAAACCTAAAACCACTATACAGGGAGTGCAGAATTATTAGGCAAGTTGTATTTTTGAGGATTCATTTTATTATTGAACAACAACCATGTTCTCAATGAACCCAAAAAACTCATTAATATCAAAGCTGAATATTTTTGGAAGTAGTTTTTAGTTTGGTTTTAGTTTTAGCTATGTTAGGCGGATATCTGTGTGTGCAGGTGACTATTACTGTGCATAATTATTAGGCAACTTAACAAAAAACAAATATATACCCATTTCAATTATTTATTATTACCAGTGAAACCAATATAACATCTCAACATTCACAAATATACATTTCTGACATTCAAAAACAAAACAAAAACAAATCAATGACCAATATAGCCACCTTTCTTTGCAAGGACACTCAAAAGCCTGCCATCCATGGATTCTGTCAGTGTTTTGATCTGTTCACCATCAACATTGCGTGCAGCAGCAACCACAGCCTCCCAGACACTGTTCAGAGGTGTACTGTTTTCCCTCCTTGTAAATCTCACATTTGATGATGGACCACAGGTTCTCAATGGGGTTCAGATCAGGTGAACAAAGAGGCCATGTCATTAGATTTTCTTCTTTTATACCCTTTCTTGCCAGCCACGCTGTGGAGTAATTGGACGCGTGTGATGGAGCATTGTCCTGCATGAAAATCATGTTTTTCTTGAAGGATGCAGACTTCTTCCTGTACCCCTGCTTGAAGAAGGTGTCTTCCAGGAACTAGCAGTAGGACTGGGAGTTGAGCTTGACTCCATCCTCAACCCGAAAAGGCCCCACAAGCTCATCTTTGATGATACCAGCCCAAACCAGTACTCCACCTCCACCTTGCTGGCGTCTGAGTGGGACTGGAGCTCTCTGCCCTTTACCAATCCAGCCACGGGCCCATCCATCTGGCCCATCAAGACTCACTCTCATTTCATCAGTCCATAAAACCTTAAAAAATCAGTCTTGAGATATTTCTTGGCCCAGTCTTGACGTTTCAGCTTGTGTGTCTTGTTCAGTGGTGGTCGTCTTTCAGCCTTTCTTACCTTGGCCATGTCTCTGAGTATTGCACACCTTGTGCTTTTAGGCACTCCAGTGATGTTGCAGCTCTGAAATATGGCCAAACTGGTGGCAAGTGGCATCGTGGCAGCTGCACGCTTGACTTTTCTCAGTTCATAGGCAGTTATTTTGCGCCTTGGTTTTTCCACACGCTTCTTGCGACCCTGTTGACTATTTTGAATGAAACGCTTGATTGTTCGATGATCACGCTTCAGAAGCTTTGCAATTTTAAGAGTGCTGCATCCCTCTGCAAGATATCTCACTATTTTGACTTTTCTGAGCCTGTCAAGTCCTTCTTTTGACCCATTTTGCCAAAGGAAAGGAAGTTGCCTAATAATTATACACACCTGATATAGGGTGTTGATGTCATTAGACCACACCCCTTCTCATTACAGAGATGCACATCACCTAATATGCTTAATTGGTAGTAGGCTTTCGAGCCTATACAGCTTGGAGTAAGACAACATGCATAAAGAGGATGATGTGGTCAAAATACTCATGTGCCTAATAATTCTGCACTCCCTGTAAAGCTTTAATCCTCTTACTACACTATATAATCTTGCTTTGACATTAACCCATCTCTAACCTTAACTGCATTTTACCTTAACCACGTCTAACATTATCTTTAACCCTTTGTGCATTTAAACAAACACAATACTGAGTAGTAATATCAAATTCAATTTTCCTGCCTTTTCTTCTCCTCTCAGTAATTTTTCTATTAATGTCTATGGCAAAACAAACTAAAATCTCTCTATCAAAAGTAACAATTCAGTAATTGCAAAAATCTAAAGACCAAATGCTTCTGCTTTAAATATTTCACATCTGTAAAACCTTTCTGTCATGGTTTTTAAATTACCTCATGCGTGTCCCCTTTACAATTATTTCTGGTTGCTCTTCCGCCCTTCTACCTCTTTCATTTGGAATACACCAAGGTTCAGACCTGGATCATTTTCTGTTTTTGGCAGCCTCAAAATTGCCTTTTTAAGTTTTTATTACAATACCATGTATATAATTGTGACTCTCAGATTGTCCTCTCTTTTGGTTGTCTACCTCCTTAATTGTGCTAATAATTGTCAACTCTCTGTATCTATTATCTAACTGGATGGCTCCCCATTTCTTGAAATTGCATCTCCCCCAAAACAAGGCTCCATCTTTTTCATCATTTAGGTAATAACCTTACTCTATCACTCTCCCTTTAAGTCACTCACCACAAACTATCCTGGAAGCTTGCTACTGTGTCCACATTCAAGTTTTAGCCTCAAAATATTACTTGCCTTTTCCCCTTAAGGTCACAGTTTTATTATCCCCACCTTAATTATTGAGATTCATTTTTCATTTGTTTCCCAACATATTTTTTTCTGTTGACACCAGGGACTCTCACCAGTTACTAAACTGCCCTGGAGAATCACATTAAATGCATTAAATAGAGTGTTTTTCCTTTGATATGCACATTTTGACATTGAAACTTACCATCACAATACTGCACACACATTTTTTTAAAATTATTTTTGTAATAGTTTTGGTTACTATTATCTTCTTAACTCACAATAAGTTATTTTTCTGATTTAGGGAGTTGCATCAACCTGTATATAGGTAAGTATTGTTGTCTCACACAAAGTGTTTGTCTTTGCCTATTTGACTTAATTGCAATATTGTATCTGGGATCCCGGGGAAAATATTTTGCTTCTTTCTTGCGGGACCTGCTGTAATAACTTGAGTTATTTGATTTTTGTTGCCTGCTTGTCTTTATAAAGATTAGCCAGTGTATGCTACAGGAACATCTCACATACTCTTCAGTAACCAACCAAATGACAAACAAACAACCTTGAGCTGAGAGGGACCCCTTCTCAACCATCAGCAACTAGTGCCCATGACGTATACATTCGCAAGAAAACCTACCGTATTCACTCAAATCTAACGTGCCATTGAATCTAATATGCATTCAAATTTTGAAACCTAGAAGCCAATAAATGTTTTTGCTGATGAATGTAGTGCTCATTTGTACAAGAGGATACTACAATACAACATGTCATTCGATAAGCAAGGACCGCACTCAGAACCTTTTATTCCAGAAGTTTGGTCCTTAAGGGGTTAAAGAGAAATGGTCACTTCCGGGATTTTTAATATTGTATTTACTTATCTCCTATATTTAGCAATTATGTGTATTTGAGGGTTGAACAAAATTAAGTTTAACATGGAACTTTACAATGGTGTGTTAATACTATTCTGTAACTGTAAAGCTCCCTGTCAATCGTTGTTATAAATGTTGCCCTTTCTGCCATTAATTATACATAGATTTATTTTCTTCTCATTTACATTGTGTGTCTGGGCTGTGCCTGAACTGAATTAAATTGTAATGCTACATATTTAATATAAAGGTAAGAGAAAATGGAGGACCTCGTAAAAGTTTCACAAAAAATTGGTCTCTTCTCGGCACCCATAGACTCCCCCTTCAGCTAAACTTAGTGTGAGCTAAGTTTTAGTGCTCTGACTGTATCGATAAGATAGGGGATGCAGCTCAACACCCCAGACTCCCCAGCCTGCAGGGGCATGATCCAGGGCCGTCTTTAACACAGGGCAAACGGGGCAGCTGCCCTGGGCCCAGTTACTCCTGGGGGGCCCAAAGCAGCTGCCCTGTGGGCCTACAACAATTTGGAGGGGCCTATCAGGTGGCCCATGCATTTAGGGCCACCCGATGGGTGTCTCTGAACAGGCACCCGGTGGGGTGCCATGGCCCTTTAAGAGCAGACCGGGCCCCTGTAGTATTAGCTGGATGGGAGGAAGTGACAGCCGATCACTTCCTCCCAGCTTCAGAAGAGAGCACCGCGGGAGGAAGGAGGCAGCAGCAGGTAGCAGCATGGGGGGGGGGGGGCAAGAATGAGCTTCTGCTCATTCCCACTCCCATCAGCCTCAGCCAGCTCTAAGCTGAGTTGAAGGTAAGTGTATCCAGTCCCTGATCCTTTCCTTCTGGGTGAATGGCTGCAGCTAGGATAGTTTTTAGAAAAACCACCCCACTCAATGCCCCTGCCCTGCTTTCCACCACTTACTGCTTATCTTCTCTGTGCCCCCACTCTCTGCCCCTGCCCTGCCTTCCCCACTCACTTCTTCTCTTTTCTGTGACCCCACTCTCTGGCCCTGCCCTGCCTTCCCCACTCACTTCTTCTCTTTTCTGTGACCCCACTCTCTGGCCCTGCCCTGCCTTCCCCACTTACTTCTTCTCTTTTCTGTGACCCCACTCTCTGCCCCTGCCCTGCCTTCCCCCACTCACTCCTTCTCTTCTCTATGTCCCCTCTCTGCCTGCCTGCCTTCCCCACTCATGCTTCTCTTTTTCATAGCCTTTACTCTCTGGCCTGCCCTGCCTTCCCCCACTCCTTCTTCTCTTTTCTGGCCATTTACTCTCTGGCCTACCTTCCCCGCTCTTCACTTTCTTCTCTGTGCCCCTTTCTCTGCCTGCCCTGCCTTCCCCCACTCACTCCTTCTCTTCTCTGTCCCCACTCTCTGCCCCCTGCCTGCCTTCCCCCTCTTCTTCTCTTTTCTGTGACCCCACTCTCTGGCCCTGCCCTGCCTTCCCCCACTCACTTCTTCTCTTCTCTGTGCCCCCACTCTCTGGCCCTGCCCTGCCTTCCCCACTTCTTATCTTCTCTGTGCCCCCACTCTCTGCCCCTGCCCTGCCTTCCTCTACTCACTCCTTCTCTTCTCTATGCCCCCACTCTCTGCCCCTGCCCTGCCTTCCCCCACTTACTTCTTCTCTTCTCTGTGCTCCCACTTCTGCCCCTGCCCTGCCTTCCCCCACTCACTGCTCCTGCCTTCCCCCTCACTGCTTTTTTTACCCTGTGCCCCCACTCACTGCCTTTCTACTATGTGCCCCCACTCACTGCTTTTTTTCTGTTTAGATTAGTTTAATTATTGCTGCAGTTGCATTTAAGCACAGGTGATGAGAGGATGAGAAACATAATTGGTGTGTATTTTTTTTGTATTTTATATTTAAATTCTTTTTTTTGTTGTGCATTACATATAACAGTACCAGCTTGCCTTGCCACAGCAGCATCAGCATTTACAAGCTTTGTGCCTCCTCCAACTCTCTGCTCCTGCCCTGCTGCAAACATAAAAATTATCACATGTATGTCAGAGTGTGTGTATCTGTGTGTATGTGTGTGTAACTGTGTCGGTGTGTATCTGAGTGTTTATGTGCCAGTAAGTGTTTATGTGCCAGTGTGCATATCAGAATTTGTGTGCATGTGCCAGTGTGTGTATCTGTGTGTCAAGGTATGTGCATGGGTCAGTATGTTTATATGTGTGTTGATGTGTATGTAACTGTGTATGTGTATACATCCCAGCAATCAAAAACAACATGCAAACACATCCCTGATAACACAAACATTACAGACAAACACACTCCTGATTTCAAACTCAAAATTATATATAAAACACACCCTTTACCCAAACACCAATACTATACACAAATTTTTAGAAGACAACACTACATTCTATAACAACCCTGAAGGCAAATATTACATACAAACAAAACCCAGTATTAAAATGCCAAAATGATATGCATACACCAACTCACAGTTGCACACCTGCATTTAAAAGTCAACCATACATACAAACACACACCACTGCATTAAAACGCAAACACTACACACAAGTACACCTTTGCATTCCAATTGTAATAGTACATACAAATACACCTCTACATGCACACATATACTCTATACAAAAACAGGCTTACATTCAAATGCACAAACACTGCACACAAATACAACCCTACAAGGATGGGCAAAGTATAGATCCCCAGCTGGCATAGCATTGTGGGAGTTGTATGACAGATGGGGATGTATCTTTTCGCCACTCTTGTGCTAGAGGGGGAGGCCCAAACAACTTTCTTGTACCAGGGCTTCTCTGCATTAGTTCCGCCACTGGGTTGGAGTGTAAGGCATGATTGCATGCCAGGGAGTGGGAGGGCAGCAGGGTCCAGGGGGCCAAAGC